AAAGCGCACTGACTTTTACTTTCCTGCTAAGGGATATGAATGCATTTGACGCTGCTTCCTGAGGAACTCTTTCTGCCAGGGCCTGGGGTGGAGGGGATACTTTTGTTCAAACAGTGCAGTCCCCTCTGCACCCTTCGCACCCCAGGGAATTGTGGGATGAGAGAGGAGCCACATTTACTAATAGGGGCCAGTCAAATCCCTTGTGAGGGCTTTGATGAAGACCCATTGGGTCTTTTGTCCTTGAAAATGTGTAGGCTTCATAGATAAGTGACAGAACAAGGACTCAGTCTGGGGCAGACAGGTGGCGCAGTGGTTAAGGGCACTGGACTCCCACATGGCTGACTGTGGTTCCAGTCCTGGACCTGGCGGCTTGCTTTCTCACTCTCTCTCTCTCTTCCTCCCTCTCTGGTCAAATTAAAATAGCTAACTAACTAAATAAAATTAAATAAAGTAATGAAAATTAAAAAAAAAAAAAGAACGAACAAGGGCTCAGTCTTTCGCCAACTTCACCGGCTAACTACAAACTTACAAGCTATATTCATTCATTCACTCGGTAATTCAGTGGCAATTCACTCAGCACCTGCCATATGCCAGGCACTGTGCTAGAAGTTGGGGAGACAACTGGTGCCCCAGGCATGGCCCTTCCTCTGAGAGGGATACAGGTAAGCAAACAGGCCATGTGATTCAATAGAGCAGGGGCCTTGGGGGGGGGGTACACAGAGTGCCTGAGTGCACAGCAGGGGAATTTGAAACCTAGTGGGTCAGTGTCCTGGGGAAAGTGAGATGCTGAGACCTGAAGGATGGTTTGGAATTTTCCATGTGAAGGGAGAGGTGATGGGGAAAGCTGTCCTTGCAGAGGAAACAGCCTATGTGAAAAGTCCAGTGAAGAGATACTTCAACGCTCTCTGTCTAGCCAGAACATGGGGAGGCCAAGAGGAGATGAGGCTAGACAGGTCAGCTGGAGCTAGATTACAAGGTTGTGTGTGTGTACATATGTGTGTATGTGTCTATGTGTTTAATAAATTATGCTAAGGGATTTTGATTTTGATAGGTAGTGGCAAGCCAGAATAAAGTTGTTTTTGAAGAATTATTTAATTTAATTTATTTATCTTAATTTGACCAGAGAGGGACACAGTGAGAGAGAGAAAGAGAGAGAGAGAGAGAGAGAGAGAGAGAGAAAGCCATCAAGTCTGGGACTTCAACCATGGTTGGCCATGTGGGAGTCTAGCACCCTTAACCACCACACTACCTGCTGGCCCTCAGAATAAAGTTTTGAGGCAAAAGTTTCATAAAGATTTTCCAGACTGTCCTAGCTGTGGTGTGGAAACAAAGATGGGAGAATCAGGAAAACGAGTCACGTGACTGTCATTGTAACCCAGACAGTGAACAATTCTGGACCGAAGAGAGGAAAGGCAGTGACATTTCTCCTCACAGTGGGATTTCGAGTTCACTGGAGGGAAGGAAAATCCAAGATGACACTAAGGAAATTGGGCAGATGGAGGAGTCATCTAGGAATTCAAAAGAGCAACACGGAATTGCTTAGCTGTTGTGTATAATTTTTAAAAGTGAACAGAGCAAATAAATGCTCCCAAACCATTTTGAAGTAAAAAGACATGAAAATGCATTCATAATACTTGGAAGTCTCCGAGTGTCATCCATTTGCTATTATATCATACTCATGGATGACTGTGTTGTACATCCTCTGTAATCTCACGCATGCAAGACATTTGAGGATTGTCTGTAAATGATACAGATGAGTAACCAGTCTCTGCAACACCCCTGACTACTTAACCCTTAAATTTTTTGTGCTTTTTTTAAAAAAATTTATATAGGCAGTTGAAATGAATTCAGAATTGATTTTTAAAGAAAGGGAAGTACCTAGTCCCATGATAAAAAGCTTGGCCAAAATAATACAAATGACGAGGTCAAATTATTTTGCCTAAGGTTGGCCCTCAGCAAAATTGTTGAGGATGGATAAACATTTGCGTCCTTCCTATTTCTCCATAAGATATTCTTTTTTTTTTTTTTTTTTTTTTTTCTTTAAAAGCTTAAATGGGGCCAGCAGCTGGTTGCTATAGGGTGTGTGTGCTCACCAGAGAGACAGAAAGCAAGAAATCACCCCTCAGGGTGGATGGCCACATCACAACATCTTCTCCTCCCTGGATTTTGGGCAGAGACACATACACACTGGCTGTGAGTTTCAAGCCACCGGGTCTGGGACTCGAACTGTGGTCAACTACGTGGGAGTCCAGCAATAGTGACCACTACGCTATCTGCTGGTCTCTCATTTTTATTTACTTCTAACTCCTTAGGTTCCTTCCACTTTTCTTTTCCTGTGACTGCAGAAACCTATCCACACCTGAACTGGCAAATCCATGGCTCTAGATCTTTCTGTCTTCTTAAAGTCAGTGAAATATAACACGGTGGTGTTGTAACCACTCAGGGCCCAGGTTTCTGGGAAAGTAAATCAAGTATACTCACTTATTATAAACTAGCCAATAAAGGAGCCAGGGTAATGATGACTACTAGCTACATGCACTTCCTGCTCAGCTAACCCTGGTGGAGCAAAACAGCAGTGATCAAGCACACCAGGTATGAGTGTGCCTGGCCTCAACCCCTGGCTCCAGTATCTACCAGCTGTGTGATGCGGGGGCAAAATTAGTTAATGCTTCACTTGTAAAATGGGATTCCCATAATGACCTCACAGGGTCATCAGAAGCATTATATGCGAGAAGGCATCAATTACTAATTATGGAGCCTGGCACCTAGAAGATGCTTAATAAATATTTATAATAATTATTATTTTTTTTAAAATGAATACCCTTCAAAGCTTTCACCTGGATACATGAGGAACATAGAAATTTCATCCCAAACACAGGGCCCATGAGGGAATTCTAGAGCAACCCAAGGGATAATTCTTCTTTTTCTTTTGGAGAGGTTTTTGCTATAGGGTGCGTGCGCTTGCCAGACAGAGACAGAGAGACAGAAAGTGAAAAATCACCTCCCAGGGGGGATGGCCACGCCACAATCCCTTCTCCTCCATTCTCCTCTCGGAATCTTGGGCACACATGCACACGTGCCCAGCGTGAGTTTAAGCCACTGGGTCCGGGACTCGAACCACGGTCGACTATGTCAGAGTCCAGCGACATAGCCATTATGCTAACTGCTGGTCCCCCAAGGGAGAATTCTTTAGCTGTGCCTTTGTATTAACAGTGTAAGAAGCTGTGTACTTAGCAGGAACACAGGTCTAGCTGTGCGTATACATTAAACGACACACTTGAAGTCCCCCAAGCTAGAGATTGTGCCTTGCTTGACATTTTGGCCCTAGCACCTGCTGTAAGGCCTGGCCCAGAGTTGGTGCCCAGCCAATTGTGCTGAAGGAACAAATAATAAATATCCTAAGGGGGGAATCTTCTAAAATCAATCCTATTTCTTGACACCACAACTACAAAAGCATTCCAGTGCAATGACAATGTTCGTTATGCGAGAGGGCTCATCAATGATTGGAATGACCATTACAGTTTTACTTAGATTCAGATCTGAGCTTTATGATTTCGCTCTTTCCAATTTTACTCAATGGTGACATTGTGGTTCACTCAATTCTCATCCTAGACATTTCGGAGTAGAAATCTATTCCATTACTCTGCCTAGGAAATGGGTTATCGATTTGCAATGGAGCCTGCAAATCAGTGATGGCCCTTTGTTTTTCATTCAGTTTTTCTGTCCAAGTCTTGTTCCTCTAAAATACATGAGTTATTTGAGGAAAGGCAAAGAAGACTTAGATAAATATTACGTATGAATTATGTAATGATAAGGTTTTTGAACACAACTCTCAAAAACAGCCACAAATATAGGGTTTAAAAAACTAAAGCAAGGACGCTCATGCTGGGTGTGGTGAGGTAAGGGTTTCCAATGACATTTCAGGGCTGTACTGGCACTACATACGAGAGGGTCTTCAAACATTCATGGCAATGCATAGTATGAAAAATATGCATGGATTTCAAAAACGTTAGCACTAAAATAAACTCGTGTTTTAATTCTATTTTTCTACAAACTTTTTGAAGTCCTCTTATATAATAATGTGATATCTTGCACTCTTAAAGAAGCTAACAAAACTCTTTTTTCCTGTTCTCTCGCATCTAAGATGATTTTGAGGCAAGAATGAAAGTAGACTGCAAATGTCATTGACTTTTTCTAGAAGTTGGTTTAGTGGAAAGGCTGAATTATAGAGTTGCAAAGAGATCTTGAAGGCATTTATCTTGAGGGGAGGCAAAGGACACCGAAAAGAGGATTGGACATCAAAAGCAAAAGGCCAAGGAAGAACCTATTTGCTAACGTGCACTAGAAGAGCCAAGTGGTTTTTCTCATGTTTATGTATCTTCCTGTTTGCATATAATGAAAACAGATAATTGGAAGAAAAATACTGTGAAGTGAAATATAATCTTGATCCACTAGAATGACAATCAACCAGGAAGCTTGAGGCTTGTTACCTGAGAGGGATTCAATAAGAATTCATTAAGACAAGTTATTATAAAAAGGGCATTTGGAAAATGTTTCTTGAAGCCAAAGAAATACTAAGAAACCAACATGGCAACCAGGTGATGGAACTGGCTATATCCATGTGGATTGGGAAGATGAACTAGTGATTTTTCTCATTAGCAATGCTGAAGAGCAATTAGGTGTTGCATTTAATTAAATTCAGGTCCATGACTAGGCATAGATGCAGTTATGTGCAAATCAGATAAATCCTGTGTATATGTGTGTGTGTGTGTGTGTGTGTGTGTGTGTGTGTGTAGTCAGAGGAACAATGTGTTAGAGAGGGCATCTTTCAATTCTAAGACAAGATGCACAAATGATATAAAGTAAACATAATTCGCTGTTAATGACAAGTAAATAAATGATCTTGGTGACGAAAATTGCCAAAGGATAAGAGATTCAGGTTTACTTGGGGAACTTGAAAGCCTAGAGAACTGACATTCTGTTTAATGACATGTGCTTACTGGTCTCTCATGCTGCAGAATTGATGACTTCCCAGGTTCATATTCAAAAATACTCCTTGGCTCGGATCGGAATTTTCTTGTGTCCACTTTTCTGTCTGGAGGATCCCAGTCATGCCTAGAAATAAACAAGTGACACATTAAAATAATTCTGAATTCTGGGCCATCTCTGTAGACCAATGGTAAGGGAGTTGGATCCTGGCCCTGCTGGCTTGAAAAACACACTGGGTATGCATGTGTGTGCCCCAAATCCTGCCAGGGTAGAAAAATGGAGAAGGGATTGTGGCATATGACCATGCCCCATTGGGGGATACTGTCTCCCTTTCTGTCAATCTTTCTCTGGGTCTCTCTCTAGCAAGTACATGTGCTCCCTGACAATTAAAAACAAAATCCTAAAAGCTTAAAGCACTTGTATAAAAACACTTGCTGTCAGTTTTCAGAGTTAATTTTAGTGAAAATTTTTACAAGAATCTCTCAGGAAAAAAGTGGATCTACAAAAAATATCATGTTTTGTTAAAGGCATTTCTCCTGTTTCTTATATTTTCTTTTTTTATTTTGAAGACTGTTCTACCGTAAACTCTCATGTGAGAGGATTGCAGACATGCAGGAGTGACCTGGGTCACTAAGAGCAGCAGCATTTGGTTTTGTTAAAAATAAGTGGCAGTATGCTCTGTTAAAACGTGTGAGATTAGCCGCACACTGTATGACCTGACATCCTTGATCCAAAGTGACAAGGAGCAAGCACACGCCAGGTTTGGTCTTATTTCATGCATGTGGCATCATAATTGTCTGAAAAGTACAACAGTGTCACTTGGGCTGACAAGCACAGGAGCAAGTCGTGTGGCAGGGGAGACCCCACGTTGGTGTTAGCCTTGAAGAACCAGGCAACTCTTAATCTCACTGGAATCAGCTCTTTTCCCCAAAACAATATCCTTCAAGAGGCTGTCAAAGAAGGACTTGGAAAGTGAAACTTCAAAGAAAGACATTTATAAAGTCAAGCTTTTCTAGATAGCGGGGGGCCATGAAGAAGGCTTCCTGTGGGTCCATTATTTTTGAGAATGGAGGTTTTTCTGACTCCTGATTGAAGTAATTTTGATTCCATGGAGTGCAATAAAATTCTGACTCCAAGCCATGTTCAAAATAGAAACAGTCTAAGGAATAGAATTAGGGGTGTGTCCTGGCTTTCTACTAAATTGATGAGTAATATTCAGCAAACCCCTTAAATTTTGATGTCAAGGATATCATTCTGTGTCTAGAGAATCATTTCTCAATTTTCAGACATCGCCTTTTCTAAACACATGATTCACCATGTGTAGATTGGTATTAAAATGGGAATCTCTTCACACTTGAGCTGTGTCTATTTTCCTGGTATCCCGTGCCCTGTATGACCACCAATTACTCTTAATACTACAATATGGTATTGAATGAAATTTTTCTGGGGTGAGTATAACAGATAATGTTTAATCATCAGCATTAACATTTTTTAAAATTTGTATTTATTAATTATCAGTAAAGTATAAACTTTGAATTTAATCAGTGCTGAATTTGATTCCTAGTACAGACATCCTAACTGTATGAGCTGAATAAGTCACTTCAATTTTCTAAGTCACAGGGTCTTTCTCTCCATAACCAAACTTAGCTCGTTGGGCAGTTCTCAGAATTAAATGATATCATACAGAAAACATGCTGAGCCTAGTGCTTGGTTCATAACGAGCTCTCAATAAAGGTTGCCTGTAAGTAGGAATGACGATCCTAATCCTAATAAACTCTGATACAATAAACATGTGTTTATAAATTTTTATTTTAGTGTATATAATGTTACAAAAATATTCCAGTGGAGAAAGAGAACTTAGTATCAGTTTCAAAAGCTGATGTAAATGAATCACAGACAGACACTTATTAACTAATGCCTCATTTATAATTTACGAATAGCTTTCTCTGTTTTCAAAAAGATAGTTTATTAATGGAACTAATACTTCCAACCCAAGAAAACTGAAAATCAGTTGCACAGTTACTAATCTGCTATGTCAAAGAAAATGCATGCTAATTATTTCTATTTAATTTGTCTCCTGTATGCATTGATTGATTAAGAAGTAGAGATTGTGCCCCTATTATTTCAGGTATAACTTAGAGCACTTCAATATTGTAGACCAAGACTGAAATCTCAGTAGAAGAGGTCAATATAGCACAGAGGCTCCTTGATTTGTGATGTGTTTTGTCCTATTATACCCATCTTAAACTAAAAATAACTTAAATAAAAAGTATATTTAGGGTCAGCCCCTTGGCCTCTGGTTAAAGGAGCTGGGTTCCACATGGCCAACAGCAGTTTAAGAGTTTAAGTCCTACACCCTATGGCTGAGAAACATGCTGGGTACACATAAATACATGTCCAAAATCTCAACAGTATGGAGAAATGGAAGACAAAAGATTACAGCATGACCACTTCCCATCATGGAAGAGACATGCTTTCTTCCTCTCTTTTTGTGTCTCTATCTGCAGAGCATACATGCCCTCCAGTAATTAAAAATAGTTAATTTTTTTTAAGCTTCAGGAGGTAAAAAAAATTGTTTTATTTACTTTTGTGTTAGATCCATTATCTAGAATTTATCTGATACATAATGGGTATTCAATGACTATTTGTTAAAGAATTTAAAAAATTAATTATTAAATAAAAGGAAAATGCATTTAATACGCTTAACTTACTGAACATCAGAGCTTAGTTTAGTTTATCTTCAATGCACTCAGAACAGTTATGTGAGCCCACAGTTGGGCAGAACCATCTAACACAATGCCTATTTTATAATAAAGTGTTGCATATCCCTTTTAACTTATTGAATATTGCGGGGTCAACACATAGTGTAGCAGTTACATTGCTAGACTCCCACATGGCCAACTGTGGTTCAAGTCCCAGACTTAGTGACTTGAAATTCATGCTGGGCATGTGTGTGTGTGTGTGCCCAAGACCCCAGGAAGAGAATGGAGGAGAAGGATTATGGTGTGGCCATCCTTCTTGGGGGCTATTTTCTCACTTTCCCTCTCACTGTTCCTCTCTTCTTCAGTGAGTGTATATATATCTACATATACATATATAAAATGTTGAAATAAATATTGAAAGTGAAAAACTGAATGGCTTGCTTCCATTTTGCAACATCATGAAAGAGTATCATACCTCCCATCACTAACCTGAGAAAAGTCAAAGCATAGTTTCTACTGAATGCATATTGCTTTCACACCATTGTAAACTTGAAAAATCTTAAATTGAGTGATCATAAATTGGGGAACGTATATGTGTGGGTTAGTAAGCGTATACATAGATTCTCTCTGTAAGGTAGGCACTGATTCTTCGCCTAGATCTCATGAGATCTGTTATGATACTTTTAAAATCCTAAGCTAAAAACAGGCTCCTTTGGGGGAAAGGGCCTTACTTTTCTGTTGAAGACCAGTCTCTGGGTCGCATGGGTGGGACTGGAGGCGGAACCTGTGGGGGAGGCACTGGAGGAGGCGCATCTTTAAAGGCATCGGTGCCGTTGTCAGAGTGGCTTTTGGAGAGAGGTCTGTAGGTCTGGGTCTTTGCAGCCGGGTGCGACTGAGCCGTGTAGGGTGGGTTGTACAGCCCTAACATGAAAAGAACAAACACAAACCAAAAACAGAAGCAAATACCATTTCAAAAGTGCACTAAATTATTCATACCCTTTAAAACATCCAAGGATGTTGCCAAAAATATGATCAGTAAGTATATTCATAATGCACACATTAGATATGGTATATTCTTTGTTAGTGTATTGATTTGCTAATTACTCATAATTAATTATGGATTTATCACAAGCACAGATCACAGTAAGTTTTCGTTAATCATTTAGGGATCAGTAATAATTGAGACTGGCCCTAGGAATCAACTTATAGGCACTCAGCAAAAATTTTCCTGGATCATATGAGTTAGTGGCATAGTTAAGGTTTCAGAAGAAGATTCAACTTGCTGAGAACTGTTTCCCAGCATCTTCTGATCCTTGAAGAGTTCTGATTTACACAGGGCAATTATCAAACAGAGGATTGAACACGCTGTGTCTGTGAGATGATACTCAGAAGGAAACATAAGCCCTTGGTAAGCTTACAGCACATCTGGGACATGAGGCAGGGACAGAATGATGACAAAAAGTAACTGGTTACAGATGATAAAGACAAAATGAGGAAAAGACATTAAAAATGAAAGGATGTTTGAAGACGGTAGATGGGCAGAGAAGATATTATAGAACCCATGGGTGTAGGGTTAGTCCTGAAGATTTAGTTCCATTAGGTGGGGAGAAGAAAGTGGCAGAGATGGCATAGGCAAAAAAAAAAAAAAAAAAAAAAAGGCAAAACCAGTACAAGACTTCAAGAAGTGGAATGGCACATCAGTAGAAAAAGACTAGCTGCAGTTGCCTTGTCCACTGATTAAATGATAAAACGCATCGGGCTCCATACAGTAATACGTGACTGCTATTTACTAGTTAATCATGTGATACAGACTTTCATATTAAAAACATTATACAGATTCTAAATTCCCCACAGCCTCAGTCTCTGAGGCTTAAGTCTTTGTATTCTCGTTTGCTTCTTCCTGGAAGTTTGTGCAAGTTTCCTTGACCAATGAAAAGAGACAAAGTTTGCACTTACAGCGTTGCCTGGATTCCATAGTCAGATCTGAACTTTCAGCTAAATAAGGGGAGTGAGTTTAGTGTACCTGTGACCAGGACTAAAAGTAGGGAGAGAGGCAGCCCATGGTGGCTGAGGTGGGTAGATCCCATGTAGCCAACAGCACAGTTTGAGTCCCAGACCCGGCAGCTTGAGAAACCCACCAGGCATGTGTGCATGCGTGCACGAAATTCCTGCAGGAGGGAGAAATGGAGGAGAAGGGATTGTGGCATGAACATCTTCTGTGTGTGTGTGTGTGTGGGGGGGGGGGGTGTTTCTCTTTCTCTCTGTGTGTCTCTCTGGCAAGCACATATGTCCTCTAATAAAAAAAAAAAAAAGAATAAAAAGTTGAAGGGGAACATCTTAGCAGGTCTCCTGGAATTATTTGGAGAAGCCAGAAACTAATACCAGAGATGTTAAAACTTATTAAGCTTGTTTTTACTGCTTTTTCTTTTATTTATGTTTGGTGACTATAGAGCAAAATCCCTAATAGCAGGTCTGAGTGCTGGTCTTTGGGTGTCAAGGACCGAGAAGCCTCAATGGTTCTGTAGTTAGACTGACAAGGGGATCCCCTGCCTATCTGAAACTTGGAGCTTGTTTTGAAGAAAGGGGAAAAGAGAGGGAAAAAAAAAAAAAAAAAAAGACAGCCATGCAGCAGCACACTTGAGGCTGGGTGGTGAGAGGGGGCCCTAGGAGGAGTCCCTTGGTGCAACATTTAAGAGAAAGTGATGTTTACGATCCCTCATTCCAGGCTACCGACACACTCAATTCCACCAGGAAATGCCCAGAATTGAAAGTCTTCTCATCACAACCATTGGCAACTCGGAGTCAGAAAAATGGCTCAGCCAAGTGGGATTTTTCAAATCTTTCAATGAATGGTTGCATTTTGAAGCCAAAACATGGACAAGGTCACAAAATACTTCGCTTGGCTTGTTTTTTGTGAAGTGTATCTGGAAGATCTTACGCAACTGTATTGAGTCTCTGCTGATAAAAGAAGATCTTTATCTTATTTTGTACCCGGGTTACAGTCTGTTCTTTCATGCTGGCCTTCACACTTTGGTTAAACATTCCTGAAGCAGAGAATAAACTAACAGTGGGAATGGATGAGATAATACAGTATTCGTTCTCATTTCCATGAAAAAAGATCAATCCTGTTGTTATGCATGCCCTGAGAAAAGAAACAAAGCATCCTCTTCACTGTACAAACGGAAAACACATGCTCCAACAGAGTGGTTAAAAAAAAAAAAGGGACTGTGTCTTTCTCCCAAACATTGTCCAACGTCAACATTCATTGCAAGCAAAGAAGCCCGTCCTACCTGCGTTGTATGTGTAAGGAGTGTTATACATGTCTCTGTCATCATCTAGAAAACGAAACATAAATATTATGGTCATATAGACTCGGTCACCATATCATCACAAGTCAGCAGAACTTCAGAGAAACAACAGACGTTTGTAAGAGAAGCCATGTATTGTTCCCAGTATGTAAGCCCACTTTCTATTTTCAAATATTGCTCGTGCTGAGCCTCTGCAGACCTTCCCTGTCTATGACATTTTTGCCTGGCGGCTCTCTTCATAATGTACGAAGTGAGGGCATGCGAGGGCACTTCGAAAAACTTTGGGGAAAAAGGAATTAAAATACAAACGCACTTTGCTGCAATCCCTTCTCCTCCATTCTCCTGTCGAGATTTTGGGCACATGCGCACACACACACACACACACACACACACACACACACACACGCCTGGCATGTTTTTTAAGTCACTGGGTCCAGACTCAAATCACCCCGTTGGTCATGTGGGATCCGGCTGCCCTAACCACCACACCATGGGCTGGTTTTCCATAAACTTTTTGAAGACCCCTGTCATTCCTTGGTCCTCACTTCTCCAGGCAGCCTTCTCTTCCAGATAATAGATTTTTTTTTAGAAAAACGCTTTAAAGATCTCTTGCCATGTGTGCTGTGCAGGCTTATCAGACCTCCCTATACTCTGTCTTGATAAGGTGCTGGTGAGGTGGACAGAGGAGTCTGTGTAAGCAGACAGCGCACTGGTTAGGTTGAAGGACCAGAGTCCCCAGCAGTCCTCCAAGGGACATCTCATAAGAGGCTTCCTGGCAGCTCAGGGGTGAGGCAGAGTCATCTGTGATTGTGACGGCTGGTAAAGGAGGATAAGGAGGAATGGTGAAGAAAAAAGGGGGTATGGAGTTTGTTGGGGAAAAACCTATGCAAAAGAGGAGTGTGTGTGTATGTATCTTTCAACCCACAGAGACGGAACAGAAAACGCCATACATACCCGGCTTGTGCACCATGTGGATCTGCTTAAACATTGTCTTGTACCAGTCCTTCGGCCGGTCAACTGTCTATAAACAAGAATGTCCAGCAGTTACAAAGCTGGTTTCAAATCATCGGTGCTCCTTAATCTCTTCATGTCTATAGTTTATTGTTTTAATAGCAGGCTTCTATTCTGCGGTAAAAACTTTGGACTATTATTACTCGATGATCATTTCAGCAATTTATCCGGTTATGTATACGGCTTGTAAATATATTACCCTGTGTTTGAGTTTAGGCTGAACCAGAGCATTCTATTCTATTCAATGCTATTGTTTTATTCTTTCAAATCATGGCTAAGCCCAGCACTAGACAACTGATATTTGCACAAACATATTTATATAAAATTCACTGAATAAAAGTTACTGTTGTAATAGATTGCTTACCTACTTGTGGTGATAATTACTTTTTTAGAATTATTTATTTAATTTTATTATTATCCTTTTTAATGTGACCTGAGAGCGACATAGAGAGTGAGCGAGAGAGAGAGAGAGAGAAAGTGAGAAAGCAAGTTGCCAGGTCCAGGTCTTGAACCATGGTCAGCCATGTGGGAGTCCAGTGCCTTAAGCTCCATGCCATCTGCTGGCCCCAGTAATAATTACTTTTATCCTTTAATTTTTTTAATTAAGTAGTCTGTTAAGATACTTCATTTCTAGAATGAAGTGGGGACTAGTTTTTATTCACACTATATTCTGATATGCACAGATATAGAGAAATACATTTGCTATTTACTAGTCTAAATTACTAAACTACTGAATGACATAGACAATCCAGAGTCCTGGCATAGGTAGAAAACAGTAGTTACTGTTTTAAAAAGTGGTTAACATGATGCTAGAGCATCTATAGCATCTGCCTTGCTAAATTGTAATTCTTTGAGAGTAGATGTGTCTCATGCACTCAAGGCTTCGGACTCAATAGAAATAGCAGATTGCAGTGGAGGGAGGAAAATAATGTTGAATTTACAACCAAGATTACAATCTTCATTTAATTAATATTTATTACTTCCTAGTAATACAAATTTGGGTAAGTTACGTAACCTTTTCAAACCTCTTCATTCTAGACTTTTCCTACAGTGGAAATATTGAAGGAAAGGGCCAGCAGGTAACGTAGTGGTTAAGGTGCTGGACTCCTCCATGGCCAACCGTGGTTCCAGTCCCGAACCTGGCAGCTTGCGTTCTCACTTTCCCTTTCTCTCTCTCTCTCTCTGCTGAGTGCATGTGCCCTGTAGCAAATTACAAAAAAATAACACTCGCAGAGGGTGAGAAATAGGGGTAATATATATATATATATATGTAAAACTAGAAACAGAAAATTGATGATGATAACATGTATGATTAAGCCACTATACTGAATATTTTGGATGGGAAATCACATTTTGTATGCTATGGCAATGCTCAGGGAATGAATGTAAATTAATGAATTAATTTTAAATGTTTCAGTAGAAAATTACAGTGTACTTGCAACTAGATTCTAGCTTTGTCCAGAGTTTTAGTTTAACGTATTTTGTGAATCAATAAAATAATGGGAAAAAATGTAAAAAAAAAACAATGACAAAATGAAATAAGTAATACTTTTTAAGCATTGAGGGGAATATTGATGGGATGTGTGTCGAGTCAAATGGTGGGAGCTGGTGGGAAGGAGTGCGGTGCGGAAGAAAGACGATCATTTACTGCTTCAGAGTACCTGAACGTGGCTCTTCGAGGGGCATTTGTTCATAAAAGACCAATTTCTCTTGCACGAGGCTTCATGTCTCTGACAATATTAAAGCCACCGATCATAAGGCATCGCCGTGAGCCCGAGTGCTTGCCAGTCATACCTGGACCAGCCAATGGTCACAAGGAGCCCTGCGAAGTCAGTCAGATCACTGTATATGGGAATGTGTCTTGACGGACAGAATTCTTCTCTTCCCTTGCTCGAGGGCCTATATCAGGCAGGATCTGAAGTTATGCCATCTGCTAGCTTTATATGGTGAGCACAGAGACGCCAGGAGATGCCCAGCTGGCTGGCAAAGCAGACTATGAAGCTGGTAAAACGGGAATGTTAAAACTCTACGCCCCTTTCTAAAAGAAGTACTCGAGGCATTTCAAGTTTCTTTTATAAATGTCATCACAGAGATTGCCTAATAGCGAGATGGAGAAAATAGAAGTTACTTCAACTCGAGAAAGTGGACGTTTGCGTGTGTCCTTATGAATCACTTAGCAGGGGCAATAGCTACCAGTAGTTCAGTAGGCAGCTGCGGTCTCTAACCTGGACAGAAGAGACCTGACTGTCTACATTCTTCTAGTTTTCAAAACATCAGAGCTCTCTACAGATTTAACCAGCAGAGAGTTTTTTTTTTTTTAAAGACCTATTTTCTTACAGTGATTCTGTGTTATTTTGCTCCTTTCCGGCTTTGAAAATGCTCAGACAAGTGTTGTTTGCAGTAGAGGACGAGAATCTTGTATTTCACTTAACTAGCTGGCCTTAATTACAGAGTCTCCTGGGATCTGAGCCCCAGTGATTTTGTTGTTGTTGTTTTTAAGAGTGGCAGTAAAAGACTAACATAGACATCCCAGGTCACATGAGAGAGGGCGAGCTGGGGAAAGCTGCTTCCCTTCATTAAAATAACTCAGAAGTGCCATTTGTTGACTCTGGGCTTTCTAGAGCGTCTAGATTACTTTAGAAACTTCTGTTTCCTCGGTTATGTTGGCTGCCTAAAATGGTACCACCACACGGTGCATGGCGACAACACTGCCTTTGCTGTGTACATTGGGCGGGAAGCTACCGCGAAGCCATCCGAGTCTGTTAATTATTACTTTCGTCCAGATCAGAAATAAAAACAACCTTGGAGAGTCTTGACCTGCTGTGGCTCAGAGACGGCCTGATCCAACATTTATAAACACAGCTATACTTGGAGATGTGCTCCGTAGGGCTGCAAGACAGTGAGTGTGAATAGAAAAGGAGTCTGCAGACCTGTGCCTTCTCTTCAAAGTGTTAAGGACCTAGTAAAAGCACAATTGTACATAAAAACTCCGTCTCCTTATAAGGCACTTTCAGGTTGCTCACATTTTCTTTGCTATTTTATAGAAGGGAAACTAGCATGAAATATTTAGCGTATGTGTTGGCTTATGCATATCTAAGCATGCTTTTTATTTGGCAGTGGATAGATAAATACTGTAAAAATTTTAATATTGGTTGTTTTCATGAACTATCTTCAATATGTCAGTTTTTCCTTTTAAAAACAAAGGAAAGCCCTACGAGTTAGGAAAAAAAAAATTCTTACCAAAAAAAATTAAAATAAAATATAAGGACCAGCTTTGCATGTCCACTTTTATATATCATTTACTGACTTAAAAATATACCTAGAGATTTCAGATAAAATCTCTTCAGACAGAATCTATTACTGCATAGAACTAGGGGTCTCTTGTGCACATACTATGCCTAAAAAAATTAATCCCACGAACTCCGAGGCACATTGTTGCTCCGATATTGTATTCTTACATTATTTACAGCAACAACAAAAAATCAGATGTAGCCATTTGAGCCAGACATCTTCATAAGGAACCCCACAATAACACACCATCATCAGAAATGTAATCGTCAGAAGATGAAGACTATGAAGTCACAATCCCTGAACTTATTTTGTTACTTAAATATGACAATCATCAGTTTCAACACAGATTTCTCAGGGCTTTCTAATTAGTCACATACAACACCCCCACAGTCTGAAAAAACCTCATTAACAGCTCCACAGATTTCTTTTTGGCTTCTGATCCTAATACAGATGCCTAGAACCATCCATCGTTAACTCTTCTCTCTGTATATTAAACAAGCAATCACCCATGTAATAAATACAAATTTAGGGAGAGAAGAAAATCCCCATACTTTGCTTTGGTTCTTTCTGAGTGCTTCCGGTCTTAACCACTGTCTTTCTCTGTCTTATCCATTATCTTTGGCACCCCAGGTTTGCACTCCAGGGCGGCAGCTCTTGGCAACAGCCCAACCCCGTATTGCAGGCAGGGTATGCAGCCGGAGCTCCATTCTTGCACCTCCCCCCAGTTTCACCTGCAGAGATGCTGTAGCCCTCATCCTGGCTTCCCGGTCTTCCTTCTCCGGCTAGCACCAACCTTCTCTTCCAAGGACTCGGTCAGCAAGCAGCTGCCTGCCCCGTCTCTCAACAGCCGCCTCTGCTACTGCGGAGCTTTGCCAGAAGGGGCTGCCCCGACACACTGAGCCACGTTTTGGCAGAGTTTAAAGACTGAAAAATATTCCAACACTTTCACTATCATCCCCAGAGAGCTCTCAGCAGGCGCAGCTGAAAGGGGACACTAAAATGTGTACTTTTCTTCAGTTTTTCCTGTCTATGACATTAACTCCCTTCGCTGAAATCATCTCACCTCCCAACTTCCAATTCACAGCTCCCCATCCCCTGGTGTGAACACACATCCATTTCCAGAAACAAATCACTGATTTATTTGCAATGCATGTGGGAATTCAACGCAGCCAAAGAATTCACATGTGCTTGTTCCTTTCCTTTTTCTTTTTTTCTATTGCCCTAGCCCTCTTTGGTACAAGGTACACAACAACAACAACAACAGAACACAACCTCATTTTATCATTTCACAAAAATCACAATTTTCATGACTTTTAATTAAAAGGGAAAAACAGATTGGGTAATTCTCTTCGACCGACAGCTTTTTCTTGGCCACACACAGCATAATATTCATGAGAACTCAGACGGCACAGAGAGCAATCCTCATTATATAAGACCCTAGGAATGCACAAAGCCACGGACAATCCGTCCTTTGTGGAGCCTGTGCACAGGCCCAGAGCGACGCACACGCTGGCATTTCCTACCGTTCTAATTGCTGTGGGGATTCCGGATTCATCCACTGGCCCGATCCCCGGGTAATGCGGGGCTTTGATGACCGTCACTCTCTTCTCCTCCTCTGAGGACCGGTACAGTGGGATGGAGCTGCCAGAGGTGCCGTCCAGAGACTGCGCGTGCTGGGAATAGGTCTCTGTGGAATCTGCAGTAGACGTGGTGAAATAAATCCAGTTCGTGAAGAATCATAAATTGATAGTGTCTGTCACTGGTTAGCAATGCCAGCTGTCACACGGTCCGCACTGCCATCACTCTCTTTGAACTCGTTTGCCTTACGACCGAGCCACTCAGTGGCTATTGGACACGTGTATATTAAACAACAAGGATCTCGCTGAATAACGTTTAATGATAAAGGATCCTTTAACAATAAAGGACCCTTTAATAATAAACCATCTATCTCAAAGAATACCATTTGCTGAATGACTATGTGGCAACCGTTTTATTAACATTTTCCCTGCATTACTTCCAGTAATCTTGGGCGACAAAGGATGTGGGTGGGGGCAAGAGGCAAGAATCAGCTTTTTAGATGAGGAGTCAAAGCTGGGACAAGGGAATTAATTTTCCTCAGCTCATACTTTACATTCATAGTATCTGTGATATCGCCGATTATCGTAATTTGAAAGTACGAAAACATGGGACCAGCAGAAGGCATGATGGTTACGTCGCTGGATGCCCAAGCAGTCAACTGTGGTTTGATTCCTAGATCTGGTGACTTAAACTCACGCCGGGTGCATGTGCATGTGTGCCCAAAATCCTGAGAGGAGAATGGAGGAGAAGGGATTGTGGTGTGGTCTTTTCCCCAGGGCATGAGGAAAAGGCTCTTTGTCTCTCTGTTCTCCCTGTCTTACTGGCAAGCACACATGTCCTATTGCAAAAACCTCCCTTAAAAACAAAAATGAAAGGGACCAGCAGTTAGCGTAATGGCTACGTCACTGGACTCCCACGTAGTCGATCGTGGTTCACGTCCCAGACCCCGTGGCTTAAAACTCATGCCGGGCGCGTGTGCGTGCATGCCCAAGATCCCGAGAGGAGAATGGAGGAGAAGGGATTGTGGTGTGACCATCCCCCCTGGGGGGTAATTTCTCGCTTTCTATCTCTCTGTCTCTCTCTGTCTGTCTGGCGAGCACACGCGCCCTATAGCAAAAAAAAACCTCTAAAAAAACCCAAAAAAACCAAAAAAAAAAAATTTAAGTACTAAATGTATTTTTAGACAAAAGGCATGACTAAATGAGCCAATGTCAGTGATTTCATAAAGTGAAAACAATAATTACTTAAAAAAACTTTCCATCCAAACACAGATTTGGATTTGAATGCTTACGAATAAATGGTTTTAAATTATTAGAATTAATTCTCATTTAAATAGTGAAGATGGCCATAAAGCTTAGGTTTTACTTTAAAGTTTTAAAAAGCATGGCTTTTTACCTTTCAAGGCAAAAAATTTCTCGAAGGATGCAAATTAGATGAAGCATATCAAGCTCTTATCTTCATGTTATCTTTATTAATTTCTAGTATACTTTAAGAAGCAGCAGAATACATAAATGTACTTTATATGCTATTTGTTCTTTAATCAAAGATATTTTTGAAAATCAACATTATCACCATTCAACAGGTATAATTGATAATACTACTTGATACTTTCCTGTAATTAATTTCAAATTTTTGGATAGTCGAGAATAATTATTTTTTCATACTATTTATTCCATGGCTTACCACTCAGAAAAAAAATTGTTGTTTTTTTTTTATATGGAAATGAATAAGTCCTTATGTTAGAGGGTAGGCTTCATTGATACATTCAAATATACGTGTGTGTCTATATGTTTTATAGCACATGTAAAAATCACATATATAAGCCACATATGATTTATATTATCTCTCTATCTACCTATCTATCTGTCTACATAGTAACCTCAAGTAAGCTTTTTAAGAAATTTAATTCTAAGGTATAATTCATTATAACATTTATAACTGCTATTGTTCTTATTGTGGCTATTTTCAATTTAGTTTGCATCAGAAAAGCAGCTTCAGTAAATTTTTGTAATAGAATAGACAAGGTTAAGAATAAAACTGCTGGGGCCAGCAGGTGGCATGGTAATTAAGGCACTGGACTCCCACATGGCCGAGTGCGATTCGAATTCTGGACCTAGTAGCATGCTTCCTCACTTTTCCCGTCTCTTTCTCTCTGTCTCTCTCTCATGAGTGCATGAGCCCTATAGCAAATTAAAAAATAAATAAATAAATAAATAATTCTTTAAAAAAAGAAAGAAGAAAATTGCTTTATGTGCCCTTGAGTTTAAAAGGATTATCTTTTCCAAGCTATTCCAATTAAGACGCAACTTGATGTATATGTTACTCTAATTGACTTCCTATTTAATTCCTAAAAGGACCTGAGCAGGCAACCATGATGCTAGTATTCTGATCTGCAAAATATGCTTTTGGAAGTAGGAGGTGCTAAATCCTGGTCTAAGTAGCGTCAATTCTGTTTTCGTAAATGCTTCACAAGATCCTAATGGGCCTATAGTCTGTACAAGTTAGTCTTTTATTATTCTCTCACACGGTCCACTAACTCTGATCTTAGCAATCTTTTGCAAGCTATAAATGTTATTGATGGCAAGGTAGCTTCTCTTCAGAATCTGTCACAGTATTGGCCCACTGCAATTTGTTCAAGGTCTAAGGAGAGAATTTCTTTCCACGTAGAATCATTTTCATGTAAAATCTACTCATTGGTATATTGGAAAATCAAAGCCTGTCTAGGTTCTAATATTTGTATTTTTGTTTGGTAGGGTGGGGGTTAGAGTAGGACCATAATTATTCAGTAAGACAAACGGGATCAAAAGTCAGACTTTGGTAATAATTATTCATAAAAATTTATAACTAGAATACTTTGTAGAGTTTTATTTTACATGTGTGACAATGCAGAGTTCCATTAAAAAAGTCTAAATATAGTGGACTCCCAGTATAATGGCTGGTTATTAAAGGGAAAATTTTGTCACAAGGAAGCTCTGCTTTCTTATACGCTAAAGGACATCATTATAGGCCCATCGATGATTCTCAGGAGTAGCGTGAGCAAAGGCACAAGTGTATTTAGATTTTTCATTAATGAGTCCCATGGTTACATTTGAAGTCTTACAGTGACAGAGGGTTTGTTGACCACGGAAATTAGCTTCCAGAACGCACATGCTGGATATTGACATAAAACGTTCCTTGATACACTAATACCATCATATTCTTTTTTTTTAATGATTAAATTTTGTCAAAAAGCATGTGAGCTCACCAGAAAGAGACAGGCAGAGAGATTGAGAGAGAGAGAGAGAGAGAGAGAGAGAGAGAGAGAGAACCTTCCATGGGGCAGGATCACACTAAATCCCTTCTCTGCCATCTCTCTCTCCTTTTGGGATTTTGAGTGCACACCCACATGCACTTAGCATGCACCTCCAGCCTCTGGGTTCAGAACTCAAACCACAAAGTTGGCCATGTGGGATACAGCCACCCTAGCCATCACGCCACAGGCGGTCACTAGAATCGTACTCGTAATGCATGAGTCAATGTTGGGGGAAGGCAGGAGAAGCGAATTGTTGCTTGCTGTCAGAGAGGAAGTGATAGAAGTCCTAAGTTTCTGTTTCTCCCTGTGGCTGGTTTGTGGTGGCCACAGGGTCAGTCCTCTTCTTCCCAAGAGGTGTTAGCTAGACATGCTGTTTTCAGTCTTCCCCTCTGCTCCTTGTTGCCCTGGAAGCTATTTACTCAACATCATGCAAACCTTGTCAGCTTGAATTCATATGATGGCTCAATTTGACATATTTTAACATGTTTTTTTATTACATTTAAAAAAAAGGTTTGCCATAGGGCACATGCACTTGCTGGAGAGAGATAGGGAGACAGAGACAGAGAGAGGGAACTTGAGAAAGCACCCCCCCAGTGAGGACAGCCATGCACCAATCCTCTCTCCTCACTCTCCTCTTGGGATTCTGGACACACACGCACATGTGCTCGGTGTGTTTTTGAATCCCCAGTTGTGGGACTTGAAATGCACAGTTGGCTATGTGAGACCTGGCAACTTTAACCACCAAGCCACTGGCTGGCCTTACATTTCATTTAAAAAAAATTATCCATTTAATTTTATGTATTATTATTATTTTCAGAGAGATAGAGAGTGAGAAAGTAAGATACCAGGTCCAGGACTTGAACTGCAGTCGGCCACGTGGGAGTCCAGTGCTTTAGTCCAGTACCACACCACCTACTATCCTCAAATTATGTGTTTTAAAAAAGTTAATTTTTTTCTCATGAAAGAGAGAAAGAGAGTGTGATGACAGAGTCAGAGAGTGAGAGTGCTAGAAAAAGAAAGAGAGATACAGGCTCCCCCGACAGGATCCCATCATGCTGTGAGCCCTCCTCTAGCCCCATAGCCAGCTGGGATCACCAGCAAAGTCTCTGCATTAGGTTGATCCAGGATCCAAACCCTGATAGGCCGAGTGGCTCCAGCACTGCCAGGTAATGCACTATGGCCTGTGCTACCATGTCTGGGCCTTTAAATTACATTTTTTTAAACCTAAAAAATATTTGTTACATTATTTTCTAAATTATCCTAATACATTTAGAAATATTAAATATTAGATCAGATATTATATTATAAAAATGTGGCTATCATTATTGGAACGATGTCTTTTCTAGGAGGCTTCAAAGAGTTTTTGAGCCCCATGAAATATTATGCTTCAAGTTTTTTTTTTTTTTTAATAAATGTTCACTTTCTTTTTCTTGCTGGAGGAGAGCTATATCTTTCATCTAATTCTTAATCCTCAAGGGGTTAAGATTTACCTCTCTACATAAAATTATGGAGTCATTGAGCCAGCCCCATTGGTGCCATGCATTGAGAGCTGGATCCCACATGGCTGATGCAGCTGGAATCCCTGTGCTGGCAGCTTGAAAACATTGCCAGGTGGTGGCCATCCTCCCTCAGGAGTGATTTCTTACTTTCCCTCTCTGTAACTTTTTCTGTCTCTCCAGTGAGCACATGCGCTCTATGGCAAAAGCTAACAAAAACAATAAACGAACAAGAAAATGCCAGATGTGGCCATGAATGTGTGTATGCACAAAATCCTGATGAGAAGAGAAAGGGGACAAAGGATTGTGGTATGTCCATGCTCCATTGAGAGGTGCTTGCTCTTCCCCTCTCTCTCTGGTGAGCGCATGTGCCCTGTGGAAACTTTCTCTTCAAATAAATAAATA